GTTTTTAGTCATAAAACATTTCTTGACAATTTAACATGTTGCAGGGGATTAGATACAGAAAAAAAAAACAAAAAATAAAAACAAAACAAAAAAAGCCTTTTAAAGTGAGATGGCATAAAAGTAAGAAATTCTCAGAACCCCAAATGAAACAAAAGCAGAAACCTGGCAGATAAGCAAGGATCAAGGTAAGCTTAGGAACAAAGCACGGCTTTCATCCTTAGAGTTTCTGCCAAATCCTAGAGCCACTGAGATTCAGTGCTCATGATCAAATGGGACATGAAACAATCCTAGGACTGGCCAAGGTAAATAAACTGATAGGGGAGCCCTGCATAATGGTGACAACCAAAGAATATGTAAAGGGTCAGCAAGAAAAATTACTATTTTCTGAAAACTCGTAACTATAAGTTGGCCCTCACATAGATTAATATATCCAGTTTCATACTATTTATGTGATCTGAAAAACCTGAAAACAAGAATTTAAAATGTTCTTGTGTCAGAAGTAACTCTGGGCAACAGTTTAAAGTTAACAATTATAATATATACAGGGAAACAAGCATTATATATGAAAACCAGCAGAAACAGAACTGTAAATTCATTATTTATTAGATGTAGAATATAAAATACTTACGATTATTAAGACTTGATAAAAGAGATTCTGTCTTAGAGTGGGTTCCCCAGGCATGGAGTTTGAGATTAGGATTTAGAGAAATGTTTTAATTGAAGAAGTGCTCATCAGGGAGAAAACTCTGAAGGAGAGAATTAAGGAGACTATGGAAGCAGAAAGAACTGAGCAAGTATAAAATCCAGGTAAAATTCTAGCTGTGGTGTAATCCACAGATTAATGATGGATTCTAAAGCATAAACTGCAGTGTGTGTGTGTGTGTGTGTGTGTGTGTGTGTGTGTGTGTGTGTGTGTTCTCATTCTGTTTTTCCCTTCTACTTGTGTGGAAGTTATAAATTTATTATCTGTTATTTTAATAACACACTATTTTAACACCCATATATGACAAAGACAACCAATAGCTACTGTTGGCATGGGTCAGGAGCAAGGCAATGCTCATTTCCTACTATTTGAAGTGGAAACTGATGCAAGCCCTTTGGAAAACAGTGGAATTATTATTAATGACTTAGTAAAGTTGAACACGTGTGTGTCCTATGGCCCAGCATTTTCAGTTATATGTCCTGGTCAAACTTTTGAACGTGTATACTAAGAATGTTAATAGCAGCATTGTTGCAATATTAACAATATTTGAAAAAACTCATACATTCATCAGTTGTAGAATGAATTAATAACTACAATTATATAAAAGAACACTGAGCAGCAATGAAAATAGATGCAAAGAGAATATGCAACAATTGGATAAATCTTAAAATATATAATGCTGAGCAAAAGGAGCAGAAGAATATATACAGTATGATTACCTATATATGAAGTGCACACAGGCACAATTAGTTAATATATTTCGTAGGTACAAGCATAAGCATAAAACTTTAAAGAAAGTAAGGAAAATGACTATCACAAAATATAATCCAATATTTTTGCATTTGGGGAGACAGAGGAATGCAAGTTGGGAGTAAGGGAATTTCTAATGCTTTGTTTCTTAACCTAATGATGAGGACACAGTGTTGATTATGCGTTGAATGGTTTGTATATATAATTTGATGTAATTTTAATGTGATTACTATGAAATATTTTAGAATGTAAACTTATGAGCTTCTTCATACACCTTCCCTTAATCACCTAATTAATACCTTGAGATTTTTCTTTCATGGCGTCATCTGTTTGTCTTTTATACAAGTTACAGTTTTTAATTATATATTTACTTGGGTATTTATATATTTACTATCTGTTTCTCTCACTAAGCTACATGTTCCATGAAATCTGAAACCACAACATTTTTTTGGTTTTATTTTTTTTTTTACACAACAGTGAGGTTCAAAAACAATTACATCAATAGTGGTTATGGCATCAACAGCTGAAAAACTAGGAAGTCTAAAGGCACCGAATGGAACTGTAATTTTAACAGTGGATCAGAAGGGTCTGTAAATTTGGGATAGAGGTTGAGACATAAAACACTAATTTCCTAATTTTAATCCTCAAATGCAAGTATTTGGGGGTAATTTATTTCACTATTTTAGAGACAGAGCAACACCTGAAGTATTTCATCAGGGGAAGTTCCCATTAAAAAAAAAAGGGATTATAATAACATAATAAAGGGACATCCTTGAAAATTTATTAGGAACCATAGGTGGGTTGAGAAATCAATTTAAGGAGTTTCAATCAACATTTTTGGTAATAAAATAAAATAGAATAATAAATATCAGAGCACAAGTAAATAATTTATGAAACTTTTGTTTTTGCTATATATATACAGTTTTAAATAGGATATAAAATGTTATCTGCTTTGAGAAGCATGCTAACATCAGGGATGGTAATGGCAAAGAATGGCCAATGGCATTTGTAAGAAGTTGTTGACTGAAAATTAAAAGACATTTCTTTCACAGATGTTAAAATATGATAAAAAATTGTGTATTAGAATCAATTAAATAAGGTGTAGACTCACATAAATACTGATCTCTGATATTAGATATATTTCTTAGTGTGGATTGTGGCCTAAAATATTTGAAAGCCACTGTCTTAGAAAATGTCTTTTCTGTTCCTCAGATTGGAGTTGGATGGAATATTGCAAAATTACACATATATCAGACTGTTCAACTATAATGCTTATTAAGAAACTCTGGTAAATTAAAACTAAAGTAATATTTCTAAGGTTGACACAGAAACTCCCCATATATTATGAAATTGTGAGTCAAAATTATAAATTAAACCAATAAAAATATTTCATTGACTATGAAATATAACAGATAACCAAGACTGTGTACATACTATTTAGACTAATGAAGACCTTGATTCACAAAAACCAAGAAATTGGACAGATTCCTCAGAGACACAGACTCTAAAAATTATATCCGAATTTTCTGTAAAGTATACAATTCATTGCCAGTTATGGTAATCAGTTTTTAATACTTCCAATACAGGAGTTCCAAGATGGAAGAGTAAACACTGTACTGTACCTGTGTTCTTCCGTGAACACATTAAAATTACAAGTAAATTATAGAACAATCAACCTGGAGAATAATCTGAAGTCTAGCTATAAAAGTCTTATAACTAAAAATTTTAAAAAGAAGCCACGTCGAGACTTGTAGGAGGGGTAAAGGTGTGGGACAGGCCTTAGACCTGCATGTGGTGGTTAAGAATCAGGAGGGATATCTCAGCTGCCTTGGTTCTCCCTGGTGGAGCAAGGGACCCCAGCCCTCACACCAAGCTTTCCAGCCTAAAGTACTGGTGTTGAGAAAAGAATCCCCGACAACATCTGACTGTGAAAAACAGTGGGGATTCTGACCATTTGGGTGGGATGGAAGGCTGTGAAAAAAACAGAAATCATTTTAAATGGCACGCACAGAGACTCACAGGCTCGCAGGCACTCACCTTGAGCTCCAGCAGAGGGACAGTGAGTTGGGGAGGCCTTGGAGACACATGGGGGTGAAGACTGAGGTGTGTGGCTTTGGAGGGAGGACTGGAGCACGGTCGGCATTTTCCCTGTATGAGGTCCACCTTCCACACAGCCAGCAGGTAAGCGCCATCTTTCCTGTGTTGAGCCCGCCCCCACAGGCCAAATCTGAATCTGATTGGCCTGGTGAATTCCACTGCTCTGCCCTGCTGAGTCACTGGAACCCTGCCCAACCCAATTCGAGCACCACTTGAGGAGGCACTGTCTCCTCAAGCAGCCAGCCCCACCCATATTGAACTTTATTTTGGGAAACTATCAGGGTCTGGCAGGCCGCAGGCAGGTGGTGACTTGCCTTTGTGTGCTTTGAAATTTTTGCTGAGTAGCTCCAGGCTCAGTACTGGCTCCAAACCAGAGTCTACATTAACCTAGTGATCACAACTCTTCCCACTCTAGTGACTCCCTGAGACCCTACCTTACAAAACTCACCTACCGCATGAGGCGTCATCAGGACCTGAACCTTAAGGGAACCAGCAGATAGCAGCATGCCTTGGGGAGTCCTGTTTTTTTGTGGAGCTACTCCAGACCTGGTCCTCATGGCGGCAGTCCTCAGTTTGCAGTATGGCCTCTCCTACATGCCTCCAGTCCAGTACAGGCAGCAGACAACTGCAGATCACTTTGTTGTTCCTAACCAGGTAGCCCCAGCTGGTCACAGGCCATGGCTGACTTAGGCCTGCACTGGAGCCCCTCTCAAGAGGCCCCATAGTGAACATGCTTGGAGGTTGCCTTCAGACCACATCAGAGCATTGCCAAAGTAGCCCCACAAGTGGCACACACAAAGGGCAGTCTCGACAAGCACCATAGCCTGCTAGGTGAAGCCCACTCAGTGGGGTAAGCCCCCTACACAGCAGCCCACAAGCTGTGGACATGACCGAACCTCCCAGCCAGTCAGCCTGAGTGTTAATCCCACCCACTGACATGCCAACAGCAATCAGGCTCAACTATAACAGGAGGGCACACACAAGCAACACAAGGGGCACTCCTGGAGCACCCAGAGCAGGTGACCAGGAAGACTGTGACAGGGTCCCACAGGGCATCTGCTACACAAGGACACCTAGCGAAGACTGGGAAACATAGCAAATCTATCTAACACATAGAAAACAACAGAGAAGCAGCCAAAATGAGGACACAAACAAACAAATGCATATGATATAAATAAGTCATAGGGATGTAATATACAACCTAGGGAATATAGTCAATAATACTGTGATAGCATGATACGATATCAGATGGTTGCTGGGCTTATCACGGTGATCACTTCTTTAGGTATATCAATGTTGCATAACTATGGTGTACCCCTGAAACTAATACAATATTGTATGTCAGCTATATTTTTAATAAAAATCTTTAAAAATAAAATAAAAATGTTAAAACACTGAAAAGAATACTTCCAATAATTAAAATGAATAATAATGAAATAATCACAGAAGCTTTCAGTATTATTTGCTTAATTTATTTTAGATAACATTGCTATATTTTCTTTCTGCAGAGTCAAGTGCAGAACTGAGCAGGCTGATAAATTTATAAACATCATGGAAAGAATTGTAGAGAGGAACTGGAGCCACTCGTAAGCCATTTTTACCCCGCTTGTCACACTGTGGGGGAAAAAATAAAGCCACAATAGTGTTAGTATTATTCACATCATAGAAATCTACATTCAAGATAAACTACACAAAACAGTCATGCTGATTTCTCTAAAACTTAATATATAAGCAATTCTTTTCACTTTAAGTAAAATATAGTGTTTCTGTTATTTGAATCTCTCCTCTTAATTATATTAAAACATGAATTGGCTGTTACATGAATATCCAAAAGCACTTTCTTGAAATCCACTCAGCAATCATCTTCTTTAAGCATTCAATAGATCATATATATATATATATATAAAATTTGTCTGTGGAGAGACCCCAGAGAGCCTGAAATCTTGGGCACATTTAAATGAATGAGAACCTCACACTGTTCTGGAGAGTTTAAATCAATTATCCTTACATGTAATTCTCTAATCCCTAGTCTTGCAGGTAAGGCATTAGTTATATTCCTGTTGTGGACCCCAAGAAGAAAGATTTATTTGATGTGGACCCATCTGCTGAGATGGACCCCTATGGTCAACCGGCGGCCCACATTTTATGAATAATGAGAGTATAGTGGCCATTTACTATCAGGGGCTTCCCACGTACTCTGTACACCAGGAAAAACATCAGACTGAACTCTCGGCTTCCTACACTATATTCTGCTTATTTATGCCATGTGCAACAATTGCAGAGAAACCTTGGTTTCATCTTTCTACCAATGGACTGAGACCTACCCTATTCAACCAGAACTGCACAAATTGTGTCCTCATTTGTATCTATCCTGGCCAGTCAGAACTGCACACTTTGGATACCTCATTTACATAAACAGACGTAATTGGGAACCTGAGTGGGAACTTTCACTATAAAAGGCAACCTCCCCTTTGATTTGGGGGGACATAATTTGTTGCTGTGTGAACCTGTGTCTCCCAGGCTGCAGTTCCTTTTGCTCAAATCAATGCTTTTTATTCTCTATTACAGTCTAAAATTAAATTTAGTTTACAATGGGAATGCTGAGATGTTATTAAGTGGGCCCAGATAATTTGGACTAGCCTGAAGGTCACTACAACTATCTTAAGAAGCACCCACTACAGGCTAGACAACATAGTAAATGGTTTATGTGTGCTGATCTATTTAATTCCCATAACAACTTTTTGAGGCAAATATTTTTGCACCCAAAAAACAGATGAGAAGTCTCAATCCAATAGATGTTAGTATCTTTCCCAAGAGCACATAGCTTGAGCATAATAGAGCTTGATCTGGAACCATTTTTTCCTGAAATTATTCTATTAACACTTATTATTTCCTTCAAGAGACTAAGAAGGCTAGTTAGGCCAAATGTTTAAAAATAAATATTATTCCATACAATGTTAACACTCTTGAGATGTGTCTACACATCTTTTATGACTTACATGACAAGGATGAAATACCTTAGTTCAATCAAATAACTAAATAAGACTGATTTCATTTGCCCCCTTCCATCATACTGATATGTTCTTTAGTTCTATTTATTCCATAAATATATATTGGGGCTTTCACTAGTAAAAACTAGTGAAAACGTGTCCTAATTGATTATGATGAAACATTATTCTTTGTTCAAATTGTAATGAAAAGAATGAATAAGTGAAATAAAACTTTTCTATATTCAAAATTTGTGTTTTCTTCTCTTTTATCAGAAATGACTGATCTTTATGTCCTTCAATTATCAGTGCTGAATACTTAGTTGGCACTTAATTTATCCTCACTAAATGACGAATTGATGTGAAATGGCATGCAATAGTGAATAATCAAAGACTCCAAATTTTATTCCTAACATGCAACTGATAGAGAAAACCTGGTAGCAAAGCAAGAGATATACTTACAACCACTCCTCTTTTTTCTAGTTCTAGCAATGCATATTTTATTGGGACAGAAAATGTTAATGTGAGTTGGCAGCCGCGATCCTCTATATTAGACGGGGTAATTATGCTCACAACTGGTTTCTTGGTTCCTTCTTTATCTTTGCCATAATAGTGCTTGATCATGTATTCCAGATAACCAGTTAGCAAAATAGATTTTCTTCTCAATGCTTTCATAGTTGCTTTCTTAAAGATCTGTAGAAAGAGGAACAATCAGATTAACAATGTCTTGGTGTTTTATGAAAAAGCAAAAATGAACTGTAAATCATGCATAAAAAAGGAAATGACCACTTTAACCTCTCCAATAATTATCTCATTTTAAATAGTATTTTTGTAAACATGTACTCTTTTAAATACTTTGCCATTAAAAACTGAATGCAGAGTTTCCATATCAGAAATATTATACAAATGTCATTTAAACAATATTTGCAGAAGAAGAAAAAAGTTAATATAATGTTTCTTAAATTAGCTTAGTATAGTTAGTATAAGTAAGTAAATACTTAATAAATAAATACATGTAAATATCATGAAATTCAAACTTTTTCTCCAAAACCACTTTTTACAATCATAAGAAGGCTTTTTTCTATTCTGATATAAAGTTTGTTTGGTCCACAAAACAACGCGATAAGAGTTAAATGTGTATACATATGTGGAAGGTAGTGTTACCAATATTAATTATAATTGTCTTACCAATATATAAATCTCCCTCAGTTTAACAATAAGAAAACAAGCAGGTAAATAATAAAGCTAAGTTTTGTCACATGGTGAAGCAAAAAATGTTAGATAATACATTTATTACTGAGGCATTTTGGCTTTCCTTTTTCTATCTTTTTTGTTTTTCATCATTTTGGTTTTTATTCTTCTGTTAAGCTCTAGCACTGGTCTGAAAATACTGCCGTTTGCTGCCTGAGGTGTCTTATATTAAGATGAGTGACAAGGGTACACAATAACTGGTATAGGAACATTACAGGTCAGAACAGACATGCTTTTCTAGCTTATCTCTTAAGGTCAAGTAGAGTTTAAAAATACATCCTACATATAAGAACTGAATGAACTTCAAGCAGAGTGTGATGCACTGGCATGCCACTTAATGTCCCTTTTCTGTATCATGTTATGCCACAGAGCAAAGATAGGGTCATTCAGTGATATCTAGACTTTATAAAGTCTATGGAAACAGTTATTTCTGTATATATGTGTGGGCAGGCATCCTCATAGAACTCAAACCTTTTGGATATGCATTTTCTTGACTTTTATTGCTCGGAGGCTTTAGATTTGGCTGAAAGGGAAGAAGGGAGTTTTACTGAGGATAATAGGATCTAATGAGGAGAAAAGAAACAGAGGCTAGGATTTTATCTGACCTCACAAACTATGTCTGCAGCCTGGGAAGAGATCAGCTGCAAGCAGAAGTTGATACCTTTGTTTTAAGAGGCATCTGAGATCTGCAGTGAAAATAATACAGTGGCTCCCTTTTATCCGTGGTTGTGCTTCCCATGGTTTTGGTCGCCTTCGGTTAACCGAGGTCCAAAAATGTTAAACAGAAAATTCCAGAAAGAAACAATTGATAAGTTTTAAATTGCGCAGTTCTGAGTAGCGTGATGGAATCTCTCACAGTTCTGCTCCATCACGCCTGGGACATAAATCACCCCCTTTGTCCAGCAGCTCCACGCTATATATGCTCTTGTCCCGTAGTCACTTAGTAGCCATCTAGGTTATCAGATTGACTGTCACCGTATCACAGAGCTTATATTAAAATCACCCTTATTTTACTTAATAATGACCCCAAAGCACAAGAGTAATGATGCTGGCAACTCACATACGCCAAAGAGAAGCTGTAAAGTGCTTCCATCAAGTGAAAAGGTGAAAGTTCTCTACTTAATAAAGAAAAAAATTGCATGATGAGGTTGCTAAGTTCTACGGTAAGAGGAAATCTTCTATTTGTGACATTGTGAAGAAGTGTGAATATAGTACAAGCTATTTTGAGAGAGACCACATTCATATAACTTTTATTACAGTTTCTATTGTTCTAATTTATTATTAGATGTTGTTAATCTCTTACTGAGCCTAATGTATAAATTAAACTTTATCATAGATATGTATGTGTAGAAAGAAAAGAAGTATATATAGAGTTCAATAATATCTGTAGTTTCAGGTACCCATTGGGGGTACCTTAACACGTCTTAAAAGGGGTGCTACTATAGTGCTTTAGGATTCAGGTAGCCCCAGTTACATGAATTTGGTGGGAGGCATCTCTTCATTTCTTTGTGTGAAACAAAATGTAAGTAGACCTAGCACAATGAGGACTCGAGGGAACACGTCCAAGTTTGGGAACAAGTGAGCCCAGTTCCAGAATCAACACTCTCACAGAGGACAGGAGCAGGGGCCGACAAGGTGCAGTCAGCCACTATTTTGACTGTCAGGTTTGGAATTTAAGATATGACACGAATCTTTCCTAGCTTCTCTTTGGAGATTAATAATTAGTTGAGGAAATTTTAATTAATAAGTAGTTCTGGACATTTTTCTAGTTCTGATATGGGCCCCATAAAATGTAGATGCAGGCAATATGTGAAGTAGCACTTTGCATGATATTTCATTTGTGTCCATAGGTTAGTAAGACTTTGGGGACTTTTACTCATGTTCATAGTTTTTTCACAGAAGGTTTTGCTCTTGCAAATTTCTTTTGATAACTAGAAACCAAACTTTTTTTTAAATGTCATAGCTCAATTCTAACATACTGTTACTCTTCGTTAACAACAAAATAACTTTTAAATATAAAACTATTTTCCACATGACAACCACAAAAGGGCACCTGCATTCTGAAGCACTCTTAAATTCCTCTCACAGAGTGCAAAAGTCTCTTCTGAGGCCTCACATACAAATATTGAGAGGGCCTCGTAGAAGGAGTTAATAGGACCATGAAATAAATATCCTGTTTTCTTTTTTGCTTCTCATTATTACTGTGCTTTCTGTACTGAGAAAAAATAATTTCTTTAAAAATAGAAAAATGTAAAGTGTAGTTTGAAAATACTCAACTTATAACAGAATTCTGGGCAGAGTTTCAACTACTTGAGTTATTTTTCTGAGTGAGTAACATGAATGCAAAGCTAAGAAAACTAGATAAGTTTAAATAGTAAAAATAAGGATAGCATGGTGTTTTCAATTGTCATATTTTTTTCTCATATTCTTAAAGTTGGCTGCCTAATAACTTTCTAAGGAAATATATAGTACATTTCTTCTGACTTGTTGTGTATTTTAATTGAATCTTCTAATTTTGTATTTTGAAGTTATGTATTTAGCTATAAATTCAGGTAATGAAAGCGTCTAAAAATTGTCTATATATTGCTATATACAAATATGACCTTTCAAAATAGAATATAAGTATTATTTAATTTCAAGTTAGCAACTGAATGGTTGAGGGTACCTTTGAAGTAATCTGGTCAAAACACCTACATTTAAAAATGGAGGCAAATCAATTAAAGAGTAGTTGTCAGTTGTGTAAGCCACACTTAGTGTCCCCAGAGGGATGAAGTATGTGTCACCTGCTTCCTACCCTAGTGCTCTTTCCCTTGATCCACAATATTTAAAAAGAGTATTTTATAAATGGTTAAGAAGCAACAATATAAGCAAAAACATAGTTTCAAACCAATTATAAGGCTCTATTTTAATGTTACAATCAAATGTACATGTGATTAGAAACAAAGCTGTATTAATATTTCTTAAATCATATTGCAAATCTCAGATCGTATTTATGTACATTGATTCTTAAGTATAGAATCTCTTTTCTAGTTGACATTTGGCTATGTAGAATATTTTCCAAAAGGGAGATAAGAGAAAACAAAGAAAGGTAGTTTGATTCATGTACTTATTTCTTTCATTGATTTAAACTTCAGCTGCTGACCTAACATATGCAACAACTTTTAAACCAATAAGGTAAGTACCAACCTGGTTAATTTACTGATGCTTACTCATATGGCAAACTCAGAAACATTTAGAAAGTAGAACATTTTTAGCAGGTAGGTAAAAGAGGGGAAGCAGTTTTGTAATTTCAGAATTTTGCAAGTTATAATGGGAAGAAAACATTTCTTAAAACACTTCCTTCAACATAAGGTTTGATTTCCTAAATAAAATTTTGGTTAGAACATAACCTCAACAGTGAATTACTTAAGTGAGGTATTTCCAAGAGTGTCCAGAGAAATATTTAGGTGATGAAGTTCCAGACAAGGGTATATCTCTTTTCTTATGGCGCTTAGGGTCCTTTTGCTAGGTTTAGGTTTAGATATTAAAGGAAAAGACAAGTCAAATCTTCAGATTCCAGCTGAGAATAAAAACCTTGCCTAGGTGACTATAATACAGTATGGTAGGAAACTAGTGGTATGGAAAATAAGAGCCTGAGTGTTCCGATGGCATAAGGAGTCAATACCAGAAGCGCCCACTCACCGCAGAGAATACACCAAAATGGGTTGTTCAAAAGAAAATTTCTAGATATTGTTGAGAAGTCATTTGCAAAGATAAGGAAATAACTTTAAGTACTAGATCTTTGTAAAGCCTGGTGTCTTTCTTTTATAGTGTAACTCATCTTCTCCCTGATACAAACACGTAAAGTAAGCAAAACTTTATTTTGTTTAAAACGTTTAACAGAAGTGTTTTTCTGAATGAGTATTATAAAAACAATTCAAACATCGTTATCTCATTTTCTAAGCATATTCCAAAAAATAAAAAAATGTATCACTGAAAAATCTTGTTACTGGGTCTATTTCTACTTAAAAGCAACAACGAAAAAACCCTGCCAAAAAGTAAAAACAGCATAAGCGCCATCTAGTGGTCAAATTGAGTAGGTGCTCTTTAAATTGGGATGAAATGACATGAATTGATTCCCAGGATCTAATGGTGAAGTTGTATTAAAACAGAGGAACTTGACACTGCCATCCAGTGGCCAAAGTGAGAAACTGCTATATGTGGTCACAGAATTCTAGAATTCAGGTTTCGAAGAGATTTTGGAATTCTTCCAGTCATTCATGCTGGAATATTTTACAGCAGGATTTCCTAAAATATCATAAACTAGATTATCTTAGGAGGCTTTAAATTAAAAAAAATCAAATTTTTATTTGAATAGCTATATACTTTAAATTTCTATTAAAATATATATGCATAATATATATGCATATTTACTTAAAATATATTTTACTTAAATATGTATACATAAGACACATATTTCCTTAACATTTATATATATTAATGCTATTATATAGAGTATAATTAGTAACAAAATATATTTACTTAAACAACTTTTGTCTCACCCTGAAATTAATATCTAAATAATCAGTTAGAATATAAATAGAAAAATATATAGTTAAGTAGCTAGATATATAGAAATAGATATGCATATCTAGAAAAACAAACTGATTCCTTAGATTTATTATTTAGGGTAAGACAAACTTTATTTTAAGTGAAATATGAATGAACTTAAAGAAAAATATTGAGCTAGTAAGAATAGGAAATATACATGGATATAACGGCAAAGAAACCCCGGTTTAAAAAAATTCACCTTACCTTATGAGATCATTTTTCCCCCTCCTTAGTTTTAGCTTCCTAAGCTTTGTCACATGACATTTTGTCAGTTCATCGATTCACAGAACTACAAGAAGAGTCCCCAGTAATCATAGCCATGTCTGGCACACAGTACTTTCTTAATAAATAAATGTTGAATGATTGGATTAATTGAGAATTAAATATTGCATGATTATTTTGCATGTTGATACACCAATATGAGGTGAAATAACTTATTTGAGTTTATACAAATTCTAAGTGGAACTAAAAATGCGTCTCCCCAGGTCTGTTCCATCTAACGTTTATTACGCGCCAACAGAGTGCCAAGCATTCTGCTAGGGGCTGGAAGTATAAATAAAAGGTGAAAATTAGCATGCAGTCACGTCCTAAAGGAGAACACTACCCTTGGCACACTGTTTGTACACGGTACACATTTGTAATGTTGCAGATTAGCTGAGAACGTACTACAACATATCACAATCAGTAAAGCAAATTGTAAAGATGTGGGAAGGTTGAACGAAGCATAGAACACTTACCTCTAAACTAGCATGTAAGGGACAGACCAACAAAATGGGGGGATTTGAAATTCGAAATCCATTAGCCCCAGGGATTAACTGCAATTCTGAAAAATTAATATGTCATTTTTATAGAATACATCTTAAAAAGTGATCTTTATTGATTTTTTAATGACAGTAAAGTAATAGAAAGAAAAATAACAAGATTTAAAAACATTTATTCCTAAGATTTCTGAGATATTTAAGAGAAGCTCTGTGGATCTAAAATACTGGCATATCTCTTCTTCACTGACAATGTCCATCTCTCCTGCCCCACCATTTTAGCAGCATGTCAAACACTAGAGCCCTTAGACACAAGACAAAAATGACCTAGAAGCTTTTTTGGATTCTATCCTCTGCCCTTCAATTCCTGAACCAGAATTCCTTATTCTGCTCCATGCTTTGTTTTTCTATTATGAATCCATGTCAGTGAGAGGAAAATACTAGGATTTACATGGTTTCTAATTGTAATGTGCAAAGGCAGATATATGAAAGAAATGACCTATGAAGGTGACTTTTAACACTAGGATTATTAAGTCAAGTGGCTTCTCTGAAGAAAAAAATGGGGTGGGGGTGTAAAAAGTAATCTGCCTAAGTATGATACACTAAAAAGGTAAATTAATACCAGATATCCTAATTAGAATTAATTAGATTGAATACTAGAAAGTTAAATCCAATAGAGTTAAGATTGTTAATTAGAGATCAAATTAAAGCTAAGACTGACTAAAAAGAACTTTAGAATAGTCACTGTCTTTAGAGATTCATCTAATCCAGGATTAAGAAAACTATGTCCTGTGAGTCAAATGTGGCCCACCACTTGATCCAATAAATAAAGTTTTATTGGGACATAGTCACACTCATTCATTTATGTATGTCCATGGCTGCTTTAGTGCTACAATGGCAGAGTTGAGTATTTGCCACAGAGACAGTATAGCCCCCAAAAGCCTAAAATACCTCCTGTCTGGCCCTTCACAGAAAAAGTTTGTCCCTGATCTAATCCAATTCCCTCATTTACAGACAAGAAAACCCAGCACAAATACTTTAAATAACTGGCATAATAACAGAGCTAATCATTTCAGCAGACAAAATAAAATACTGATTTTCTGATTTGACTGGAAGAGCCAGTCCATCTTGATCCTTTGTATCTTAGTTATTGTAAATGTGAATATATTTAAAATAGTATCTCAGGATTGGAAGCAATCTGAAGGATCAAGCTTGTTTAAGTTGAACTTTCAAAACACTTATGAAATTTTCTGTAGCCCATGTAACTGAAGAATAGTCATCAAGGAAAAGAAGCAGGGTGGTGTGAGAGCACCCTGTGCGTGGTGTACTTTCATTTCTACCCACTGGGGGGTAAACACTACTGTATAGTATGTGGCAAAAGCTACAAAAGGAAGAAATTTTGGGAGAAGAGAAGGATAAAAATGAACATTTCTTAAATAGCACTGCTATATGATACTTGATTTAGAGCTTTGAACTTGTCTTACCCTCAAATTAAATCCTGAGATAGATATTATTCACATTAAATATGTGAAAAGAAAAATTTTAAAACGACGATATAACTTGTACAGCATCACAAAACTATTAAGCAGCAAAATGGGACTGACTCCAATTCTCTCTGGGTCTGACTCCAAGCCAAAAATTCCTCTTGTCCTCACTGCCTGATGTTTTGGGTACTCCATATTGCTGAGATCTGAGTCCCTTATGCTAAATTTCACTTCGTCTTATCTCTCTACAAAGGGATAAACTCAAATTCATGCTAAAATCTACAAACACATAGTCTTACATTCTGGAAATGTCACTGCTTATTTTAAAAGTTCTCAGTAGCATTTTCAAAGTACATTCTCCATGAGGCATGTATATTATGTATCATACCAAGATAGTTGAAAATTAAAAAGAGTTAAAATAAAATGACGTGAAGTAAAATTGAATATACTTACTGTTATCCATTTTAAATCTGGTGCTGAGTTCATGACCAAACCATCCCACTAACCTAAAATATAAATAACGACATTAGATATTTTGGTTTATAAAAATAACCACAATTAATATAAGAATCTGGGCCTGCATAGTGAAGCCATTTGTGAGAGGAATCATCAAATACTTAGGCATATAAGTACTATGTGATATCCTAAGACAATATTTATAACTTTATCAAGAATGAATATAAAATCAATTAATTCATTTTACTACTTATATTATTTTGTGAGATTATGTCATCTGAATAGCTATATTTAATGACTTTTTTGTTATTTAAAATAAAATAAACAAAAATGTTGAGTTTTTCTTTAGATTTGAAAACAAAGGTAAAACTCCACAAGGAAAAACAATTAATGCAATAATACATTTTTCACAATAGTATCCCTAAAGAGAAATGGCCTAAAAATAACCTATTGGGTTGTCAGAAAAGTCATGATGTATCTTTTCTGTTTTTTGTTGCAAACATGTGTCATGACTTTTGCGACAACCCAATATATTTTATTGAAAATTTTGAATAATTTTATAAAGAAATTTGTTACCTTCATATTTTAATGAGAATGTTAGTTGCAGATATAAAATACAAAATATGTAGGAAAAACCATGTATATGTGTGTGCATGTTAGATGAAAAAAATTACAAAATAACTTAAAGAAAAATGTAAAATTTGAGGAAGAGTAATAGAAAATTCCTGCTAATCAATTTTCCCTAAATACATTTTTTAGTTTTAATGTTGCCAAAAAAATTTTTTCATGGCAGTTTTCTTTGGAACTTGGCAAATGTTTTGTTTGTTTGTTTGTTTGTTTGTTTTTTGTTTTTTAAAGATTTTATTGGGGAATTGGGGGAGGGGAACAGTGCTGGGGAATTGAGGAAGGGGAACAGACAAGTTGCTGTCCTTTTGTTCTTCAGTCTAGTTGTGGAGGATAACGCTTCACTGGCCCATGTTGGTATTATCATTGTGCTCTTCCCAGGTGAGGCACTCACTTGCCAGCCATTGGACAGCCTCTCACGGCAGCTCACAGCAGCTCACAAAAGTGCTCGCCAGCTGCCAGCCAACTCCACTGCAGCCTATATGCCATCACTGGCGACTCATGGCAGCCAAGTTCCAGGTGGAGCTGTTGTTCACCATCTTAGCTGTAGAGGGCGCAGCATCACTGGCCTTCATGTGGGATCTGAACCGGGGCCCTATTGCTGAGAACTGGTGTCCCAAGCCAACTCTTAATCAACGCACCACTCAGCCGGCCCGGCAAATGTTTTTAAATTTAGATACTATATATGAGTGGAAATAATACATAAATAATACATTTTGAAATAGAAGAATATAAAGGTGATTGTGCTGTATTTTATATAGCTTATTACTAAATTCGTTTAATGAATGAGCATTGTATTGGTAAAAGAATCACCAGGGACCCAAATGAAACATGAGAGAAAACATAGAAACAGACCTCAGATCATATAAAATTTAATATGTGATAATTGAGAAATTTTAAAAATTCAGAAGTGAAGAAAATATATTCACATATTTATATGGGTTTTATAAGAAAAAATTACTTTCTAACTATAAAACCAAAAGAAAATATACAGGAACCTATCAATAGATTCATAAACATTTAAAATTCTGTATAAAAAAGACAGGCAAAATTAAAAGCAAACCAAACCAGTGATGGGGAGAAAGGTGTTACTTTTCTAATATAAAAGTTTTCACCAAGTTTTTTATTAGAAATGGGCTCCAATCCAAGTATTATAGAATTGTACACTTGAAACATATGTAATTTACTAACCATTGTCACCCTAATAAATTTAATTTAAAAAAAATGAAAAAGAAAATGGGCAATGCCCCTAAAAGCTATACAACCATAGGGCATGAAAAGGGCATTTATAAATGAAGAAATGCAAATGCCCCACAAATTTAGGGGGAAAACATGCTTATTTAAAAATATGAAATACCATAAAGATGAACCCATACTTCATATACCAAATTGGTGAGATCAATTAAAACTTATGATGCCTGTATTCATCAAGGATTCAAAGAAAAGAAAATAAGCCCTTTGTCTAATCATAAGAAAAGTAAAGTAATAAAACTTTATTGTAGAGTACAACTTGAGAAGATATATGAAAAACATGTGTACTTTTCTGTGTTAGTATACTTTTACTCATTCCAATTTATGCAAAGGGCTATTTAGATTACACTATTTAGGGTACACTAAGATTTCTGTACTAGGACAATTAGCACAATGTTGTTTAAGTGTCAAAAAACCCTAAATATCTCCTAATAGAGAATTAATAAAATAGATTATAATACTTACATATGATAGAATACTGTGTAACCATTATAAAAACCCTATTTAAAATAATATTTAAAAAGAATAAAAACTGGAGATCACAATAGAGTATTATTCAAATCTGAGAACAATAAAATATAATGAATGCATTAATATATAATGCTGGTCAAAATGTTAAGATTTTAATTTCCTGCTTTATTCATGTCTATGTTTTCTAGTATTTTCTAAAGAACATGTGTTGTTCTTACATCAGAGAAAAGTTTTAATTATAATTTAACACATATTCGTTAGTCCAAACATTTTTAAATTCTAAAACACAGCATATTTTGTACATCTTGTCTACATATATTAATACAGAATTAGCAAGTCTGATTAATTATGTAAAATGGTTAATCATTTTACCGTACCATTTAAAATATTGCACAGCTTCCCTTTATTTAAAGGGAAAATTCATAGCCTATCAACTCAACCATATCTTTCAAACCTCATTTATAATATTTATTTTCTTATGTTAAATCATTCATTCTTAAACCCTATCGAACACTACCCCTAACACCCTGTTGTTTTTTGTCTGAAATGCTAACATAGGTAGAAGCTGCATAGAAGACATTATAGAAAAGAAGCAAAGTGGTGGGCAGAGTGGTAAAAGCCCAAGTGATATAATATCTAAGGAAGTTCCAGTAAAAATATACTTTCTAAAGTGAAGGCAAGGTTTTCCAATTTGAATTTTAAAAACCATACCCTTGTTGCAATAGGAGGTAAAGAACAAGGGTGAGAAGAGTAATTTTCAGAGTGGTTACATGGGGTCATATGCAGAAAAGGAGAGGAGGCATATAAAGAACCTGGAGGAGCCCTAATAGTTGGAAATAGTTAGAGAATGAGAAACTTGAAAGGCTACCCTGTCCCCTCACCTAACTTCCAGTTTCAGTATCTCTTCCAAATTGCTGACCCAGGAAAATTCAACTCATTGAGAGATGAGCAATGAAAAAGGAACTGGGTATTGCACTGCCACAAAGATTCTACATAAAAACCGTAAAAATAGCCAAATCTACCTACAGATGAAAAACATGCACCAGAAAAACGTTTCCAGAAATCTGATACAAATGTAAAGCAAATAAATAAATAAATAAATAAATACATAAAATAATGTTTTATATGATGGCAAAATACCAAGTAAAAATGCAGGCATAATCCTGATATAGTTCGGCAATCAGAAGAATAAAAAATGAGCCTGCAGAAACCAGAAAAGAATTACAAAAGAAATACAAACATAAAAGATAGAAAAATTTGGAAGGAATGTGAGGAAGTCAGGAAATTATGGATAAGACAGCAAAAGGCAGAAGATAGTTGTGAGAAAAAATAAAGAAAAAGGAAAGGTAAAAAGAAAGATTTAAAACAGTTTAGAGAGAAAATGATAAATATAATAAGCAGGCAAAAAAGTTCAGTCATAACTAAAATGAGTTTCCAACAAAGAAAAGAAAGAAAGAAAGAAAGAAAGAAAGAAAGAAAGAAAGAAAGAAAGAAAGAAAGAAAGAAAGAAAGAAAGAGAGAAAAGCTTTCTATAAAGTTAACTCAAGACAACTTTGATTAAATAACAAATGATTTCAATCTACACATAGAAAAAAATCCAACATTGTCTGAGTTGGGGAGAATTAGCTCAGAGTGGTTAATTTTATTTATAGCTTATTAAAATTATTAGATTTTAAGGATGAAGAAAAAAAAATTATGGTTCCAGGAAATAAAAGGTGGAAACCAAATAAAGAGAACAACATCAGATCGGCTTCAAATTAATCTAATACAACAATTTAATGACAAAGAATATTACAGAAATACCTATATAATACACAAAGAAAGAGACAGAAAATATAATGTGCTATTATTTTGTTTGGATAAGCCAAATTGTATAATGGTTACTGGTGTTGATCAAGCAAGAGTTCAGCTAATATTTTTACCATGAATTTTTTATGAAAACCTACCTGAGGGTGAACTAAAGAGATGACTGGGGAAAGTATGACAAAAAGATATGTGGTGACTATTGAATGTATTTAATTATAGGACTAAGATTTAAAAACGTGGGGATTAAGGTGACAGAACATAATGAAAAAAATGTTACATGACAATGTAAAAATGAACAACTGGCAAAATGAGGCGAAGTAAAGTAATTTCACTGATCATCTATAATTTAAACTTAATAAGTCAAGTAATAGCAGTATAATCAGTCTAAAAATACAAAGTAAACACCAAGAAAGTCAAAATTGACTAAATCATAGGGTGATGAGAGGATATGCAGAAGGGAGAAAAACCTGCTAAATCTATTGGTGCTCATGGAAGAGAACTAACAGAAAAAAAAAGATAAAATTTTAAGTTAAAATATTTTAAAATATCAGAACAACTCATAACTGAGAAATAAACAAAAAAGCTCATGTTGAAAAACATTAAGCTCTAGAAACAGAAAATATGACATTAAATGACATTTAATTAATAACAGGCACAGTTGTCAATGGGTTCATTTCATGTATCAAAAAACAAAGCTATCATATTACAAATCAGAGACTCCATTAAAACAAGTGATTCAGAAAGAAAAAAGAATAAAAGGATGAGCACAAGTATAAATGGAAAATGCAAAAATAAAGCAATTGTGAATGCAATCTTTATGTTAGACAAGATGGAATTCAGACCAAAATGAATGAAATGATTTGAATAAGGATAATTTATTATGTTAATTACTATAATT